AAGGTTGAGAACCTCTGCTCTATATTATAACAAAGAGAGGAGAAATGTTGTCTTGCAACTTTAAATCTGGTAGTTGTATCTTCTTTTCCTGTCCTATCTGATTTGTTGTCAATCCGCTCCTTTGGGCTTCACACAAATCTACCATTTGCCAAAATATATGATCCTGTGCTTTTCTTTTCCATTTCTGGTCAAATAGCTTAACCATTGGTTCATCCCATCAAATACGAGATCTGCCCAAGAGTCTCTTAGTATCCAGTTCTTGTATTAACCTATAGAAATACATAAACTACGTGTAATGTTTAAAAAAGGGAAGAAAGGATGATAGTGAAATGCAGCAAATGTTTGTTTACACAATACTAATTTACTAGCAGATGAAATTATATTCTTAGATTTATTAGGTAATAATTAAAAGTAGACAAAAGATTTAAAACAAGTCGATAAAAATAATGAAGATGAACTTTTAATGGTGAAGAGCTGGGGGAGAAAACAGTAAGAACATTGGATAAATGTCATTTCTTAATTGCTTCTGACAAAAAAAACATGATAAAAGTTTATTAAACTGCAAAAACTTCATTGTTGTGGGCAGGCCCATAGCCAGGATTTTGATTCGGGGGTGGGGGCTGAGTCTGAGTGAAAGAGGGTCTACCCTAGCAAACCTTTTGTATCGTTACCCCAATACGCCCGTGCATATGGGATATATTGAGTATGGTGATCAGATCATGATATGAATAAACATAACAGTTTAAATAATGTACCAGTAAGGCCTTCTCGCAGACCACCATGAGAATTTGGAGGGGGGGGGGCTGAAGCCCTCAACCCCCCCCCCCCCTCCCCTGGCTACATGCCTGGTTGAGGGGCATCCTGCAGCAGATTTTGCTACAGTTTTCAATTAATATCTCATAGAGTCTCAACCGATTCAACATAGTTTGTTGCAACCACAAAAATGAAGTGTCTGGGGTATAACAACTACTTTCAAAGTAAGGAGTGTGCAATTAAATAGGAAATAACACTTTCAAACCAGGAACAGAAAACTTTTCAATTTGTGTAATATAGTGTAATCACATGGATCTGGAATATCCATGGATCTAGTTGGTAGCACAAGCTTGCATCTGAGGATATGGAATTAAGTCTATGTAAGCTAATGCTGCCAATTTAGCTGCTTTGAGTCTGTTTTGGGAGAGAGGAAGCAGGATATAAATACTTAAACAGTATTAATAATAACTACTTTCTCTCTGATTAGCCCCAAGATGCTACAAGATCATGCATGTAAACATGGAGACTAGGTGCTCTTGGGAATTCCAAGAGCCAGGCAGGAATACATTGACCTGGCTTTACCAAATGATTTGTCTGGGATAATCAATTTTGCATTGCTGTTTCAGACATTTCACTATGTAATATGTACATGTCTGAACCTGCTCCCTTTCTTGTTTGGTGGCATGCATTTTCCACTGGGGAGTTTTAGGGAGGATTCGGATCTCTTGGACTACAGTCTTACAAAGCAATTACTCAGAAGTAAATTTTCACAGCAGGTAACAACAATGATTACACACACACACACACGCCAAATAAAATTCTCCATGTCTTGATTTTTTTAGGTCTGTTCTAAATAGGAGAAAGTGGGTTGATCCTGAAGTTTTTGGAAACATGTAATTGCAGCTGTACTCTGCATTTGCATTGTGCCTTCAAGTTATATTGACTTACCGTGAATTTAATGGGGTTTTCTTAGTCAAAATACTCAGAAATGGCTTTGCCAATTTGTTTCTTTATAGCCTACAAGCCCCGGCACTCATTGAGAGCCTTTTATTATAGTACTAAGCAGACTGACTTCTTAGCTTTCAAGGAGAGATGGGATGTAATATCTACAATATCTAGCCACACCTTTTATAACACTGGCCAACTCACATTTGTCGCCTCATATGTTAGCCCTGTTTTTCAGTATATTTGACTTGATGATTCCAAAAATCACACCAGATTTCCTCTGTTGGTTTTGGTTTTTGAGCTACAAAACATATGTCATCTATTGGTTGCCATCTGCTTGCCCATAAAAAATCATGATAGCAATATCTTGTAAACTAGAGCTAATGTGGTCTATCCAACACAGTTTTCTGAATCTGCAGCCCAATTAGATTCAAGAACAGACCTAAAAAATCAAGACATGGAAAATTTTATTTGGTGTGTGTGTGTGTAATCATTGTTGTTACGTGCTGTGAAGTTGGATTCAATTTTTGGTGACCCTATGCATGAGAGACCTCCAAGTCATGCTATCATCAATAGTCTTCTTCTCAGATCCTGTCATCTCAGAGTCATGGCTTCCTTGATTGAGTCCATCCATATCAAATGGATGGACTCAATCTTCTTCTTTTCCTACTGCTTTTTAACTTTCCAAGTATTACCTTTTCTAGTGAGTGAAGTCTTCTCATGCTACTTGCGAGCATTACAGTCTCAGTGTAGTCATCTTGGTTTCTAGTCAGAGTTCAGGTTTGATTTACAATTGGGCTAATTTTATATCTAGCAGTCCATGATATCCATAGAATTCCAGCATATTTCAAATACGTAGACTTTCCTTCCATCAGATGTCTTTATTATGTAGCTTTCACAGCTGTACATTAAAATCGGGAATACTATAGCATCGGTCATCTAATTTCAGTATTCCATTATACATATTCACATGGTCCCATTGAGTTCCTTCATAGCTGTCCTTCCAAATGTTAACCTTCTTCTGATTTCTTGACCACAGCCTCCATTCTGATTAACAACTGAGTCAAAACATGGAAAATCATGAATTATTTCAATGTCTACTTTTTTCTCTTCTAAAGCTATGTAAATAATCTATGGTGATTGTGTTAGTTTTCTTCAGCTGTAAACCACTTGTCTGCACTTTCTTTCTTGAGTTTCTTCAGCAATTGTTCTAAGCCATTGCTACTTTCTGCTAGTATCATGGTAAGGCCAGCACATCTAACATTGTTCATGTTTCTGCCTCCAACTGTCACACCCCTCCCTCCAGATTTAATCCTGCTTCAAGTATGATATGTTCAGCAACAAATTAAACAGATTGAATTATGAAATGTGCAGCCTTGCTTAGCCCCTTTCTCAATTGGAAACCATTCAATTTCTCCATATTTTGTCCTGATGGAATCCTCTTGTCCTGATGGAAGCCTTTTCTTTAAGAGTGATCCATAGGTTTTTTTTTGTGATCTACACAATTAAAGGCTTTGCTATGTGCACGATTCTTCTGAATTTCCATGGGCTGCTCCATGGAAATTTGTTTTCCATTACATTTCCAATATGATCTCTAGTGCCTCTTCGTTTCCTAAACCAAGCTTGAGCATCTTGCATTATTCACTCCATATATAGTTAAAGCTTTTGTTGTAGAACTTTGAGCATTGTTTGGCTTGTTTGTGATTATTAAAATCCATTGTGTCCTTCTTCTTGGGGACTGAAATTTATATTGAGTGTTTCCAATCTGTATGGCATTAATTTTTTCCATATTTGCTAATAGATTTTTATTAGAATTGTAGTAGATTCTGTATCTATAGCTGAACCCATTCTATTGTCATCTATTCCTGGCCATTTTGAATTATTTTCTTCTGTTTCTCTCCACTGATTATTATTGTAATTATAGTAATACTCTTTGTCCCTGTAGATATGTAGGTTGAAAATAATGTGCCAGTATCTATATTTATATTTTGTCTTATGGCAGTTGAGACATGTTGTCATGATGAACTGTTGCATCATTAGTAATATCTATGATCTGCCAACAATGTCACTTACTGCAGTTATATATGTAGTATCATAGCAGGAGCTAACTGGGTAACTGAGGCATGAGTTTCAGCACCTGAGTGCTCAGCTTCTCTAGTGTGAACAAAGGAGCATTCACTATAATCTTTGGGATAACTTTTGAAGTGTCTGGACACCAAACGTAAGTGCAGTTCTTATTTATTGCAATTGTTGGGATCAGCTAAAGGAGTTGTGTTATTTTTGCTTACATGTTGCAAACCTGAACTACCAACATTTCTGAGTCATAGATTTTTGTCCTCACATATTATTTATTTGTCATGTATACTGCCCTTTGAGAAATATGGAGAATAAGAAAAAATCCTTTTCTGATTCCTAAGAGAATTCACTCCAAAGAGAATTCTGCATGGATTGAAATGTATAAAAATGCATTTTCTCCAAAGGAGTGTCTGAATGTATAAATTAAGTGTGTTCCATTTGAGCATACAGACCCAGAAAAATACAAGGTAAAATAAAAGTAATATAAAGTCATAAATAATATAAAATCCACATGTTTTCTATGGCAGAATGTTTATTTCCTGGCCCTAAGGAATCTGAATAGCTCTGTAAGGGGGCAATCATTCCATCAAAGTGAGACTACCCTGGTGACCACCAAGTCCACTTTGCTGTATTTTGACTCTGTAAAAAAGCGATATAGGTTTTTCTGGGGTCTAAAAATATTACATTATCTGAAACAGTGGCAAGACACCTTGCCTTGATGTTACCCTGCTTTTCCCAATCTGCATCATCATCCTTATGTGTCACGAGGTGGATGGAGATGCTGAATCCACATTTGCACATTGATTTGAAGTTAGTTCCCTATCCTTCCTTTGGTGTATTCACAGAACTGGCATTTGCATGCAGCAAGGAACACTGTTGCTATCTTAGTTTTATAAATATGATGGAATGTAACATCTACAAACAAAAAGTTTAGAATATATCCAGAGCTCAATCCCCTGAAACAGTTCTCTGTTTGGAAAGTGGTGTTCAGTTCTATGAAAGCAGTTATTGGCCTTTAAATATGCTCTTATTTCTTGTCATTACTTGGAAATAAGAGTAAAGAAGCCAAAAAAGACAATAGGGAACCCAACAACATTGAAGGTTCCCTACTCTTGGCTTAGTGTCCAGGCCACTGATGGATCAATAACAGCTCCAGAGCTTCTTTGACTGAATATCACTGTGAAGAAGACTTGACTCTGTTTTCTTTCCCTACCTTTTCTATTCAGAATCCATCTTTATGGGAAGACCCTTTTTTGATTTGACTGAGAATGTCTTTGGCTGACAAGAGACTTGAGAACCTCCAGATCTATAAAGTTCTACAATGTGTTCGTCAAAAGGATACGAAGCAGATCGAGAAGCTCACTAAACTGGGATATCCTGAGCTCATTAATTTCACTGAGCCCATCAATGGAGACAGTGCCCTTCACTTGGCCTGTGTTGCAAACGACATTGACATGTGTAACTTCCTCTTAGAGCTCGGAGCACACCCTGATGTCCAGGATAGAATGGGTCGCACACCAGTGATGAAAGCTGCTGAGCTTGGCCATGACTTGGCCTTGGATGTATTAGTCCAGGCAGAGGCAGACATGACAATTGTTGATGCAGAAGGAAAAGGTATACATTCTTTAACTTTGGTGCATTGTACTTGTAGCCTAGAAATGTTAGATTTTACTGGATCCTTCCTCATTCTGCTTAATACTCCTGATCTTCGCTTGTTCAACTGTTCTGTCCCTATTCCTCAACAGGCGTGTTGTTCTATTGCATTCTGCCTACCAAACGACACAATCGTTGTGTTCAGATGGCCTTAGAATATGGAGCAGATGTTAACAACTGCACTATTGAAGGGAAGCCTGTTTTTGTACAAGCCTGTGAACAAGCACATGAAATCAAAGAGATGTGTATGCAATTTCTGGAAAGAGGAGCAAACCCAAATTCAACAAATCCAGTAAGCACATTCTTACCATTTGAAAGGAGGGGGAATTAGAGTGTTGAAAGTAGAGACATAATAATTAGTGCTTAAACAAGTTCCCCAGTTCAATTCATTTTTTAAAAATGGATTGACCAATAGAGTTTATTGATGGCACCAGATTAGCCTTTAGAAACATGTTTTTAAAACAAGAACAGGTTGAGCTTCCTTTATCTGAAATTCCAAAATCTGAAAGACTTCAAAATCCAAATTTGTCCACTTAAATGGCTCATATAGTGACACCTTTGCTTTCAGTGCCACAAACATTGTTGCATGCATGTTTTTTTTAAAAAAATACTTTGTCAATTATTTTAAATAATTATATATATTTCCTTCAAGGTTATATATACAAGATATGTGTGTAATATAAATGAATCTCATGTTGAGACTTGGTCCCATTTTAAGATATCTCTATATGGGATATGGAAATACAGATATTCTACAATCCAAACATAATCCCAAATTATAAATGTTTCTGGGCATTTTGGAAGAGCAAAGGTGGCAAAAGATCAACTTCTTATTTTCCCTATTCAGGACACATTTCTAAGAACCAAGAAATAATGCTTTTTTACATTAGGAAAACTCTGATTGATTGATTGTCATATTAATAATCTGTAGTCAAAAAATTCAAGTCATCAGTTCCACGGGACAGTGTGACATTGTCCGTGGTTGGTGGAATAGTTAGATTGGTAGAAATCCCCTATTTGATTTCATTCTGAGTTTTAAAAAAGCTGTTCAAGGTGCTGAAGCTATTCTTAAAGATTGATCAAAAACCCAGGGTGGATTTACCACCCAGCTGACAATAAAGACAACAAATGTCACTTGTACAGGATCATAATTGAAATAGATTTCACCTCATCAGGTAGGAGAAACAGACATACATACAAATTGAGGATGACCAAAGGAGACAGTTTATTTTGGGCTCTGGGCCTCCTGTTTTGTATCTTGGAAAACAATGCCACTAAGTAAAGAAAGAACCACTTTTTATAGATCAAGGGATAAAGCATCTAAGAAGTTTATTTAACAGCCTGAAACCCTGCAATGGCTTTAGTTATTTAATAGGGAAAAAAATCAAAATTGATTTACTTAATTAAGGAAATCACACCCCTTATTTTGCAAGACCTGAGGAGAGGGCTATTAAAAAGAAGGTATTTTGGATGTATCTCAACTGTAAGGTCATCATAAGCCAAAGCTGAATTAATGGAAATTAACAACCTCGTTGTGTGTGCCATATAATAAATAAAAAGCAACGCGGACTAGTAACACCAAATGGAAGGGATATAGAGAAGAGACAAAGTATCAAGGTATTGTTAAAAAAAAAGAATGAATAGTGACAATACATAAATGCCACAAATTAGAATAAGGTACAAGTTACAATTTGCTGCATTGGATACAAAATGTTTTAAAATAGAGACATTTCATATGCCGTTTGATGTAAGATGTATGTGCATGTACCTAATGTAGCAAATATTATTTATTTATGCATTGTCTCTTTTCTTTTATCTTATATCAGCCCATGAAGACGGCCATTTGGAAAAATAAAAACATCTTTTTCAACACCCTGAGATCTTGTTTTTTCTCTGCATTCCTTCCAATATGGTAACTAAACATATCTAGATATCCATCAGATCCACGAAGGGCCCTTCTAGACAGACTCTATATCCCAGGATCTGATCCCAGGTTTTCTGCTTTAAACTGAATTATATGAATCCCCACTGCCAAATAATCTGGGTAAACAAAAAACCTGGGATCAGATCCTGGGATATAGGGTCTGTCTGGAAGGGCCCTAAGTCATCATGGTGTAGCTGCTATGGTGCCAGACTAGGAGACTTAGTTTGAAATACCTAGAAATCAGACACTACCATTTTGCCAGAGTTGGTTGTTGTGAGGATAAAAATGGAAAAGGATACCTTGTACACCTCCTCACATTTCTTTTAGGAAATATATGATGTATATGTAATAATGATACAAAGTCAGTTTAACAAGACTCCGTTTGATTTGTAGGCAACAGGCCGGACTGCCCTAATGGAGGCCGCAAGAGAAGGAGTTTTGGAGCTTGTCCGTGGTATCCTGGAGCGAGGTGGAGAAGTTAATGTTTTTGATCATGAAAGACACCATGCTGCCCATTTTGCCGCCAAAGGAGGGTTCTTTGAGGTATTCTTTGTTGGTGGTATCAGAAGCAAAGGTATCCAGCCAAGGACGTTTCTTGGTCAATTACTATTAATCAGCCTTTGCTTGGGTAGGGATTCCAGAATTGATTTGCTTATGCTTGTACAAGGAATCTTTCCATTTATATTGATTCTGGCTGTTACAAGAAGGCATGTCTTGCCAAAATTAAGTATACATTGATGGTGTGTCAAGAGCTTGGAAGGGGGAGAGAACTGGGTATCATTTCTGAAGATACACTCATAACTGTGTGCAACCTAGGTCCTTCCTCATGTTTTCTGGACTCCCACTCCCAATAGCCCTCTCTAGCAAAGTCAGCAATAGATTGGATTTGGAGCTTGAGTTCTGCGATACCTGGGGAGCTACACATTGTTCACCTCACTTGGGAGTTTGACTTATGGACTGAACTAGACAAGATGGTGAACATGATGGTGTTGCTCTCAAAAAATGGCAAAGCTCCTTTTCCATATATAGATTAAATATCACTTATCTGAAATTCCAGAATCCAAAATTGTCCGTATTAGAGGCTGAGATAGTGACTTCTTTTCTTTCTAATGGTTCAGTGTACACAAATTCCATTTTGTATACTGAATTATTTACCTTCAGGCTATGAGTGTAAGGTATATATGAAATATAAATGAATTTTGGGATTAGTCTTGGGTCTCATCTCTAACAGATCTCATTATTTATGTATACACAAATACAGGGTTTTCCTAAATCAGAAAAAAAACAGAAATCCAAAGCATTTTTGGTCTAAAGTATTTTGGATACATTGCAGTTTGTTTTGGCACCAGAACTATTTGCATAGAAGGTTAAAGACATTCTAAGATGCCATAGCACTGGCTTGTCATTCGCTTTCTCTCTAGCTGACCAACCTCACCAAGTTGTAATGAGGTTAAAGGTGGAGTGGAAGTAAAGTCTGAACAGCACCTTAACCTCACTAGAAGAAAAGTTAACATAAATATAAATAATAATATGTTAAAGGTGCGTACAATGTCAGTTTCCAAGATTTCCTTTCTTTTTGGCCAGATTTGCAATCATTGCCTTGATGGCAGGCTACAAGGGAACGGGCAGTAAAGGAGGTGAAAGAAAATCAGAGAAAGATTTCAGGAAGGTTAAACAAAGAGCAGATTGTATTGTTGAAGGCTTTCATGGCCGGAATCACTGGGTTGTTGTAGGTTTTTTCGGGCTATATGACCATGGTCTAGAGGCATTTTCTCCTGACATTTCGCCTGCATCTATGGCAAGCATCCTCAGAGGTAGTGAGGTCTGTTGGAACTAGGAAAATAGCCCGAAAAAAACCTCCAACAACCCAGTGATTCTGGCCATGAAAGCCTTCGACAATACATTGAACATCTCTATGGGGAGAAACTGTTCCGAGACACATGAAAATTGGAAAAACTAAGGACCAGGAAAGCACATCTAATGTATTCCCTGACGTTCCTTCTATGCTGCAGAGACACAGATACCATCCCACAATTTCTCGCAGCCAAAAGGACTTTCAAAACACCACACATATATAAACCCTTTTTCCTAGTTCCAACAGACCCCACTACCTCTGAGGATGCTTGCCATAGATAAAGGCGAAACATCGGGAGAAAATGCCTCTAGACCATGGCCATATAGCCCGTAAAAACCTACAACAACCCAAAGTGCAGATTGGGGAAAATTGGGGAAAAAGAAGACAAAAACACAGATTTAAGGAAAGAAGATTAAATAATTTGTACTTCTTTTTTGGATGAACATCCAGTTTCTTTGCTCTGCTTTATCACTTTTGACGATTCCCACATGTAGAAGATGGGGAAGACAATGAAGGCTCTTGACATTTTGAAATGTACTGAGGAGTCCATTCAAATGACAACTTGATACTGAAAAATACTGTGGAAGAAGCCCTAAGAGAACAATCTCTTAAAGTTAAAATTGGGAGATTGTGCAAATCCCACTCCAGTTGGGAAAATGGCACCGTGACTGTGGCACGGTTGTCGTGAGTGTCAGCTGCATTAAGATCACTCTGACCACAAGGTCATGAGTTCGAAGCCAGTCCTGGTTGGAGTGAGCTTCCGACCAATTATGTAGCTTGTCAACCTTTGCAACCCGAAAGACAGTTGCATCTGTCAAGTAGGAAAATTAGCTACCACCTATGTGTGGGGAGGCTAATTTAACAAAAATTTACGAGGCCATAAAAAAAGACTCCAGCAAAGCACTCCAGGAAAAGCATGCGGGGAATGCGGAAGTACTTAATCAGTGTCGCAGATGAAAGCGACAGCTTTCCTGGTGGCCAGAAAAAGTTAAATAGCTTCTGACTGTTTATCTATATCTGTTGTGTGTCTTTGGCATTGAATGTTTGCCATATATGTGTACATTGTAATCTGCCGTGAGTCCCCTGTGGACAGAATATAAATACTGTAAATAATAATAATAATAATCATAATCATAATAATATCCTCAGATGGAGAAAATATTCTCTTAAATGTATATTACTTTGGAGCTGCAAGGTGCGCTGGGTCCCAGCGCCCACCATGCTGCCCAAGGTGATAGGATTATGAAATCCCACAAACCTGGAGGGTGATACTTTGGAGAAATTGACAAGAAATGTGCAGAATTCTTGCCCTTTCGCCATTACATAGCTAGGTATTACTGTTCATTTCTCTGACATTCGTAGCATGTGACATAGAAAGCATTGAGATAACATCAGTTAGCTACTGCTCTTTTGCGGGGGGAAGGGGGCTGGTGCAGTGCAAGGCCAGTGGTGTGGGGGGAGTAAAATAAATTGGTTTGAAAGCATATGTGTGAGCATCCAGAGGTTTATCTTTCTAATGCTATTGATGTTTCTTTCTTAGATCCTGAAGATTATTTCTGCCTACAATGGAGATGTGGGCCTGATTGCCATGAATGGAAACACGCCACTTCACTATGCTGCTTCTGGAGGTTTTACAGAGTGTTGCAAGTTTATAGGTCAAAGAGGTAAAGTAGTATTTTACCTCCTTACATGAGTCATTATTTGGTTTGAGTTAACTGGCTCACTAAACAAGAATACATTGCATGCAAAGACTAGGAACCTACCTACCTGATTTATGAGATGCTCAATCAGGAAGCTTTTCCTGCCAGTTAGAATTGTTCAATTGTACAACTTTGCAATGTTGTATGGACTCATTTGTTATGCATGGCAACCAGGCCTGTAGTGAAGGGGGGGGGGATTTAGGGGTTCAACCCCCCCAAAAAAATGTTTCAGATTTTTTTAAAAAAACCTCGTTTACTCATGAATTTTAACTGGTTGACCAAATCTCCATGCTAAGTCTATGAGATGCAAGAACTGTAAGCACTATCTCAAGGACTGTAAGCACTATCTCAAGCAAATATTGACAATTTATTCACACTGTCATTACTTGCAGCAATAGCCGATGTAGTGAAGCAACCAAGTTGGGTGTGTGTGTGTTGAATGCTCTCATTAAGGAGGCCAGACTTGGTGGAGGTGGTTGACAGGGGCGGAGCTGCAGGCTATTGAAGGCTGCTCTGCCCCCTGCTGTGCTCTTTGCTTCAGCGTGAGCTAGAAGGCAGGTTTCAACCCCCCCACCCCCCCCCCGAAAATTTCAACCCTTCCCGAAATTTTTTTCTGGCTATGGCCCTGATGGCAACCACTTAAGGTGGTTTTATCTATGGACTACTGTACTTGATAGGCTTCTGTTAGGTTGCTCTTGGAGGACTCCACAGCTCAATCGTCCTGTTTTTCTAAATTACTTTAGGCAGCTGTGACTTATTACCTGCCATACAGTCCTTATCTAATAATAACAATAACAATAACAATAACAATAATAATAATAATAATAATAATAGTAATAATAATACATTTTATTTATAACCTGCCACCATCTCCCCAAAGAGGACTCGGGGCTGCTGATATGAGGCCAAGCCCAAAAAAATACATTATAACAAAATATGAAATAACAAAACAGCATAGTAAAACTAGATACAGAGGATGGGCCAGATGTATAAGGTAAAATGTTAAAAGGTTAAAACCCTGGGTGAGATAGGGATAAAAGTGCATTTGTAGGAGAGGAGCCCAACAGTGATGAACCATGGGATTTAGCCATTTTAGGGGCGGGAATATGCTTTATTCTGAGGGCAGCTATAGGCTAAGACAGTCAGATGTGTTGAGTGGTCATTCTTCCTTGTATGCAGGAAGGAACTGTTGCCTGCTAACCATAATGACTTTTGGTAATGGAGGATTTTAAATAAATAAATAAATAAATACATTTCAGGGTGTTTCCAGGTCAATAATGCTGGCTGTAGCTATGATGCTAGATCAGTGGTTCTCTCCCTGTGGGTCTCCAGGTGTTTTGACTTACAACTCTAAGAAATCTCAGCCAGCTTGCCAGCTGTTAGGATTTCTGGGAGTTGAAAGCCAAAACATCTGGGGACCCACAAGTTGAGAACCACTGTGCTAGAGGGACAGTACTCATTTATTTACGACCTTTAAAGCCAACCTTTCTCAACCATATGGCGACTCAAGGTGGGTTACAGATTGGCATGATTCAATGCCGTGCATTCATAAAAGTGCGATTAAAAACAGTCAACAGAACAATATAAAAACATATAAAAAACCATTAAAACATGTAGTCACCGATGTCATCTTGTTAAAATCGTTTTTCAGTAATATCATCTGGCCGTTCCATGTTCATCATTCATAGTTTCATTTTATCTATTCCACTGCATTCTCAAAAGCTTGCTCAATGAGCCAAGTTTTTACCTTTTTTCAGAATGTCAGGAGGGAGGGGGGGTGATATAATATCCCTGGGGAAGGAGTTCTATAGCTGGGGGGCTACCACTGAAAAGGCCCTGTCCCTCATCCCTGCCAATTGCGCTTGTGATGCAGGTGGGATCGAGAGCAGGGCCTCCCCAGACTATCTTAAGCTCCTAGATGGTTCATAAGGAGAGATACATTTGGACAAGTAAGCTGGGCCGGAACCATACTTCCACTATGGATTGTTCTCTGAACATTAAAGGAGCTATATAAGGTTTTTTAAAAGTCTATTTTGAAAATATCATTCAGCACTTTGGATAGTTCCATCCCCACCTTACTCCCATCCCTTTGTAAACTGTCACATGTCTCCAACAAAATCTATTTTTCTTCCTATTAGGTTGTGATCCTATGTGGCGGAACCTTGAAAAGAAGACACCAAGACAAGTTGCTAAAGATGCTGGTTTCAAAGCAACAGTAAAGGTGATCCGTAAAATTGAGCGTCGCTTTGCCAGATATTCTAAACCCAAGCCAGGGGTGAAGAACCCCAACCCACCTTGGGCAGTTCGGCTGCATGACTGGTCCATGGAAAATCAAGCAAGTCTTCGTGAAGCATTTGAGGCAGTGGACCGAGGTGATGGGACTGTAAGTAAAGAAGACTTTGTGTCCATCATTGAAGAGAGGTGTCCATTTGTGAATGTTGAGCAAATAACAACAATTGCTCAAGCTCATGAGAAAACCCGTGCTGGAGGGATTAAACCCGAAGAATTTTTCACCGCAAAGCGGTTTTTGCAGAAGGCCTTCCTCCTTTCATCCTATGGTCCCAAGAAGAAAAAGGCTAAAAAGCCAAAAGCCAGGAAAGGAAAATTTGTTATCCCTATGCCAATCTGTGTCATCCCAGACAGCTCGCGCCCCCGTCGGCCAGATGGCGGGCCACCAGAGTTCATGATTGAAACTTACCAGAATGTCACTGATAGCATCCGGTTCAATCGTGATCACCCCCCTGATCATCCCATCCAAGATGATTCTTGGTGGTACATTGATGAACCATTAAAGAACTTTTCCAACATCAACTACCTCACAAAAGATGGAGACCTCTCATCACTGAAAAAAGCCTTTGAGTCAGGTGTGCCGGTAGATGTGAGAGACCATTTTTACAAAACTCCCTTGATGGCTGCCTGTGCAAGTGGCAATTTGGAGGCAGTGCAGTTCCTTATCGAGAAAGGGTAAGTTGGCCTCTTATAATGGATTATGTCAGGATGAGCATACTTCAAACTTCAGATTTTTAACCAAACCCTTGTGATCCACCCAATAGAAAAATGTGAAAAATGGGACTAAAGGGTTGGTGCCCTGGAATCAGATATGAACAAAGCTCACAATCCTTATCCACTTTTTGCTCTCAAGTGTGTTCAGAATCATATTTATTTAGTTATTTATTTACCCTGTTTATGCCCTGCCTTTCTCTACCCCAAAGGGGACTCAAGGCGACTTACATATACAATTCTAATAACATTAAGATAAAATTAGATTAAATTAAAATTAATACATATTAAGCATTTTAAAACATTTCATTCTATACTAAAATCATGCTGTCCATAATCTTAGTTCAAGCCATTCCATGGTCATTGCACATATTCCAAATTTCTTATTGCACTGCATTATTCTCTGAAAGACCGATCCCAGAGCCAAGTTTTTACTTTCCTTCTGAGGGCTAGGAAGAAGGGGGCTGATCTACTATTGCTGGGGAGGGAGTTTCATAGCTGAGGAATGTTTTGATGGCTGATGAATAAATGCTGACCCAAAACTCTTGATCTTTCACTTTAAATTAACCTACTTCACAGAGTGGTTGGAAGAATACACAAGAGAATAATAAAATCATATAATTAAAAGAGACCACGTGTGCCATCCTGTCCAATCCCTGGCTATGTAGGAACACACAATCAAAGCACTCCCACCATGATACATGCCTCCTACATCATCCAGATTTGCTCAATACTCTACATGGGCATTTCTTGAAAGAGCACTCTCATCATGCTCCAATGAAGCATATTCCATTGCTGAACAGCTCTTACCATCAAGGAGTTCTTCCCAGTGTTTAGGTGAAATCTCTTTTCCCGAAATTTGAACTCCTTTGCACCATGCCCTAGCCTCTAGAGCAATGGTTCTCAATCTGTGGGTCCCCAGATGTTTTGGCCTTTAACTCTCAGAAATCCTAACAGCTGGTAAACTGGTTGGCATATCTGGGAGTTGTAGGCCAAAACACCTGGGAACCCACAAGTTGAGAACAATGGTTCTAGAGCCCCAGCAAAAAAGTGTACTCCCTCATTATAACATCCTTTTGAATTCCAAATCATGGCTATCATGTCCCCTCTCAACCTTCTCATCACCAAGCTAAACATATGTAGTTCCCTAGGCTTGGTTTCCAGATCTTTTACCATTTTGGTCACCCCCCACTCTGGTCATGTTCCACCTTCTCGAATTGTGGTGCCCAGAACTGGACAATTCTAGGCGAGATCTGACCAAAGCAAGATAGAGTGGGACTATGACTTTCCTTGATCTAGATCAGGCCTGTACAACATGTAGACCTCCAGTTGTTTTGGCATCAAAGCTAGTTGCCATCCCCACAAATTGTGGTAGCAGATTTTATAAATGAATTACATACAGTGTATGTGAATACATCCTTTCCTCCCCCGTTTCGTCTCTCCCCTCTACTACTTCCTCTTTGTTCTGTCCTGAATCCACTACCATTCAGTTTAAATGATCCCAAGTTCCGTTCTTTTGAGAAGCAGAGAGAAAAATACCAGTCTGACCATTTTGCAATGGTTGTGATCCACTGCTATAAGGAATACCTGGCTTTCGTGGTATTTCAGGATATCTAGAAAATGTATTAGAAACAATTCCTTTTCCCCCCCTTAACTCACAAAACTCTATATTTTGAACCAGTCTTTAAACATTCAGAAATAGGAAGCCAAAGAGTATGTTTCTTATGGTACTGTTTCTTCTTTCACAGGGCAAATGTGAATGCAACAGATAATTTCATGTGGACTCCTCTCCACCATGCCTGCCACGCTGGTCAGCAAGATATTGCTGAACTCCTTGTTAAATGTGGAGCAACCATAGATGGTGTTTCAATCAATGATGGAACACCATTAATGAGGGGAATTGAGAGTTGCCGATTGGACACTGTGAAGTATTTGGTCGACTCAGGTGCTAAAGTTCAGATGCAGAACAGAAGAGGTAAGTGAACCTTTCAACTCCTGTTAACTGAGATACTGCTGTTTGATGTTAAATGAATCTATTAATGAACTCTTGTGTTGAAGACGAGTCTTTTTAAAATAATATTAAGTATTAAGGAAATTAGTATTAGGTTCTTATTATCTAAACTTTGGGGATTTATCTGATTTTCTAATAAGGTCTCTGGAATAATTTATTTCCTCTTTATTATCATCATTCTCAGCATCATCACCAGCACGGTCAACTTAGTTTTGCTATTTATTTATATTTAGGGATGAACAAACCCCAGCAAGTTTCTGTCATCAGTCTGTTCTGTCCTTTCTACATTTTTGCATACATAAATTTGACATATTTTCATATCGTTTTCCCTCTAAGAAACATGTTTTATGGGCACTCTTTGACCAGAAGATTGTATTTTAAAATCTGGAGAAGTGCACAGCAGAATAAAAATGCTCTGATATGTGTATTGACTTGGGAAGCATAAAGTACATGATTTAACTTAAAATCTGTTCCAAATGAGATTTTCTCCTATCATTGCTCCTGTTGCTGCTGTTGTTTCCTTTCATGTCATTTCTTCCTTATGGAAACCCTAAAGTAAACCAACCACAGAATTTTCTCTGGTGGAGAGTGTGCATAGGGTCATCTGGTGGGTTTTCATGGCCAAGTGAAGATTTGAATCTTGGTATCCAGAGTCATAGTTTGACACTCAAAAAGCCCTTCTCCAATCCTTCCTTCCTTAACATTTAATCAATTTTATCAGCTCAGTCACTGAAATCCATGGGATCTCTTTCAAGAAAGCATTGTTTCAAAAGCAGCTTTCTTTCCTGCTTTCATCCCACTCTGCCTTTGCTCTCAATATAGTAGAATAATAACTTTTCAGGAAAAGAAATCCTGGCAAGACCAGAATGCAGTGTTAAATATGCAATACTTAATTTACCTAATACCTAGGTTGACTTTTATGCTTTTCTGTCTTCACTGAGGGTGGCCTAGCCTTCAGTAATCAACATGTGTCAGGGCTATTGTACTAGAAAGAGTTGTGAGAAAAGAAATCCTGAAAGTTCATCTACACTAGGTTTCTTCAACCTGTGGTCCTCCAGGTGTTTTGGACTTCAGCTCCCAGAATTCTTGGCCATTGTTCAAGCTGACGAGGGCTTCTGGGAGTTGGAGGTCCAAACACCTGAAAGGGTGCTGGTTGAAGAGGCCTATCTACACAAACAAGCAGATTGAAAGGTAAGTAAGTTCTAGATCAGTGGTTCTCAACCTGGGGTCCCCAGATATTTTTAGCCTTCAACTCCCAGAAATCCTAATAGCTGGTAAACTGGCTCGGATTTCTGGGAGTTGTAGGCCAAAAACATCTGGGGACCCCAGGTTGAGAACCACTGTTCTAGATTCTCCTTCTTCCTGACTGGCAGCTTTCTGTATGCAAATAATAGCTCAGTACTGAAAGATACTGCATACTTGAATTGTACACCATCCTGTCACAATTGTACACAACCCAACCACTATGATTTTGTGAATCCAGCTTTTGTCGACCCCCCCCCCCCCAATCCCCAACATCCTAACGGAACATACTGTACAGTAGACATTAGGAAGACCTGGGATCTGACTGCCCTAGTGTGGACTATCCAGCTTTCGTCAATCTCCCCCCACCATCCTTAACGTGCTAACAGAACATACATTAGACATTAGGAAGACCTGGGATCTGACTGCCCTGGTGTGGACTATTAAAATCTGCCTCATAAATCTGATCAGCCATATAAGTAGCATCATGATGTAGGTCAGAGATGAGTGTAAAGACTCCTGTTAATATAGAAACACTCTTTCTTTCTTACATTTATAAATCACGTCCCTCTGCCTGCCTTGTGCTTGGCAGATAATGTGGAATAAACTTGCCATTAAAATGTCGCACAGAACCAAGGAATACAGGCACAAAAACATCATAAACTCATGAAATAAAATTTGAGCTCAGCCTTGAAATTAAAGAGCAGCAGAATATTATACAACATTAAAAGCTTGACAGAATAGAGGACTTTATTTCCCCCCCTAAAAGAGCCAGTTTCTCCTCCTTAGTGAGTTATTAAGGCTGATGACTCTGGTGCTTTTTGAACAATGAATCAGTTTCATATTAAAATTTAAATTTGCTAACCAAGGTGATGGACTGAAGTTTGTAATGTGGTTTGTCATCATGGATGATGATGATGATGATGATGATGATGATGATGATGATGATGATGATGGGGTCATAACCATACAGGTCATAACCAGCACTTTGAATTGTGCCCAGAAACAGTCTGGTAGCCAGTGGAACTGCTGCAGCAGGGGGTTGTCCACTCCCTGTAGCCAGCCCCAATGAGCAACCTTGCTGAAGTTTCCAGCACTCTTCAGAGGCAGCCTCACATAGAGCACATTACAGTAATCCAGGTGGGATGTAACTAAGGCATGTACTGCCGTGACCTGGATTCTCAAGGAATGGGTGCAGTTGGCACACAAGTTTTATTGCATGTGCAAAGGCCCCCCTGGCCACTACTGATACCTGGACTTCCAGGTTCAGTGCCAAGTCCAGGAGGACCCCCAAACTGCAGACCTGTGTCTTCAGGGGGAGTGTGACCCCATCCAGCACAGGCTCTGACTTAACTGGATTAAGTTTCAATCTGGTTTAAGTTTCAATCTGGATTAGGTTTCAATCTATTTGCCCTCACCCAGTCCATTACTGGTGACAAGCACTGGTTTAGAGACAAGACAGCTTCCTTGGCATTAGGTGGGAAGTAGTAGTAGAGTTGGGTATCATCCCAGTGGTTTCATGTATGTGTTAAACAGCACTGACCACAGGTCAAAGTCAAGGGTTTCAAACAGGAGTCCCCCAGCACCACCTTCTAGGTACGGTCCTCCAAGAAGGATCGTAGCCACTGTAAGACAGTTCCTCTCAGTCCCATCCCAGCAACATGACCCAGAAGGATACCATGGTTAATGGTATCATAAGCCGCTGAGAGATCCAGGAGAACTAACAGTGACACACTCGCCCTGTCTAGCTGTTTGTGAAGGTCATCCACCAAGGTGACCAAAGCTGTCTCTGTTCCATAGCCAGACCTGAAACCAGATTAATATGGATCTAGGTAATCTGTTTCATACCAAAAATACCTGGAGTTGGGAGGCCACCACACACTCCAAAATCTTGCTCAGAAAGGAAAGGTTGAACACTGGTCAATAGTTGTCCATTAAAGAGAAGGTTAGGAAAGGCTTTTAAAATATATGTCTCACAACTGCCTTCTTTAGGCAAGTTGGAACTTTGCTTTGTTCCAAGGGGGCATTGACCATCCCTTTCACCCACTCTGCCAGTCCCCTTCTGGCCTGTTTGATCAGCCAGGAAGGACAAGGATCTAGAATACATGTGGTAGCTCTGATCTCTCCAAGGCCCCGTCCACATCCTCAGACTGCACAAATTGAAATGTATCCATCAAAACTGAACAAGCAGGATAGCTCATATCAGACTGAATCCCCAAATTTATTCATGTACACATTTATATGGAAGCTGCCAATCATCACTGCTGGAAAGTGCCTTCAGAATCTAAAAATGCCTAATCTTAAGTTGACACCAATCTAATCTTTTTGGCTGGTACATGTACCAGTACATGGAATTCAGTCAATCATTGCCCTAGTAACCAGCTTTTGTCTTCTGTGTTTTTGATTGTGTACATAGTGCTTTAACGTGCCTGGCACTTCATAGACTATGGGTTTTCATTGGGGATGAAGATTAAGGGCTCAAAAAGCTTCATGGAAAAGTTAAGTTTTGAGGGCAGTTTGAAGAGAAAGGGAGGGATAGTCTCATAGTGGTGTATTCAGGAAAGTATCCAAGCATTAAGATAGAACAGGGGGAAACAAGCAAAGCTAATGATAGGAGCAGGATAGTATGGTTGGGTTGCAGGAGTGAAAATCAAGGTCAATCCAGGCAGGAATATGATGTCAGGAGACATGAACTAGATCTAGAAGTGTAGGAAAAAGTTAGGCCATCCTGTGGTACAGAGTAGTCTGAGGATAGGACAACTTACAGAACAATACTTTTGTCTTTTTTTTTTTTTTGGCCATGCTTTGAGGACCACCAAAACATGCTGAAGAGCCAGAGTAGTGTTGTGGTTTGAGTGTAGAATTAGATGGGAGATCACCAATAAATCCCAGGTGCTGTAGGCTATATGAAGAAAACAGCAAAAAGGCCTCTCCAAATTCCTTGCCTGAGTAAATTTGATGAAATTCATGGCTTGCCATAAGTTAACTTGAATGTGCACACACACAATGTATATATGTTGTATATATGTATGTATTTATGTACTACATAGTGGTTTGAATGTTGGACTACAATTCTGAAGGCCAGGATCTGGACCCCTGCTCAGCTTGAAATCCACTGTGTAAACTTGGGCAAATCATATTCTCTCAGCCTCATGGGAAGGCAATGGCAAGACTCTTCTAAGAAAACCTATGATATGTTCACCCTTGCTTTGCAATAGTTTTAAATGACTTTAAATTACAAGAAGGAGGAGGAGGAGGAGGCTGTGTTAGGTTCAGGAGAGGCCTTTTTAAATAATAATAATAATAATAATAATAATAATAGGGTTGTTGTAGGTTTTTTCGGGCTAAATGGCCATGGTCTAGAGGCATTCTCTCCTGACATAATAATTGACCTGGAAGTTGCTTTCTATTTTTAAAAGGCTTCTTTTTCATCTAAAACATCCCAAGGGAGCTGAGAAATGCAGCAAAAAATGTCCCCAGCTCCCCCAAAACATTTAGAAACAAGAAAAAACCAGAGGTTGGGAATTGACCCATGGAAGCCACACTAATATCCCTGAGGCTGCATATAGTTTGTAGGCTGCACTTTGCCCACCCCTCCTGTAGTCAAAGCTCTGAGCAAAGCTTGGAAAAGCTAAATAGGTGGATTCTATCTCCTAAAATTTGAATTACGTTTCCAGTACTTGCTCAGGGGTTGTGGGTGGGCATTGTGATACTCCCAGAAAATGCTTCCATATTCAGCAAATGAGCACCAAAAGAGATGAACAGTTTTGTGCTTTACTTCTGGACAGATGGGAAAAAACTCAATGTGTGACATCAAAAGGCCACAAAAGATATGATTGTGGCAATAAAGGCAGCTGACTAGAAGATTCCACCCAAGGGTGCTATGTTCTAGCAGAGCTATCAGAAAGAAACTGTCCAAACCTTATCCATGTGTTCTCTCTTACAAACAGGACAAAATGCCCTGGATATTTCAAAGGCTTACGCTGACAATCGGCTGATCCACTTCATTCAAGACACAATGGACCGCTTGCCCAAGCCACCAGATGGCAAAGGGGGGGATAAGAAGAAGGGAAAGAAAGCCAAGCCAAAAGCACCTGCTCCAGCTCCAGCTCCGGCCCCTGCGCCCACCCCTGCACCCACCCCTGCAACTGCACCTACACCAGCTTCTCCCAAACCAAAGCCTGCATCAAAAGAATCAGTGAAAGAAGAGGTATTGTGACAATGCCCTACAATCTGTTAGAATTAAGGTGCTTCCAGACAAGTCAGAAATGTGCTTTGGTGTGCATTTCTGTCCCCACAAGCCCGAAATGCACTTCAGTGCCAATTTCTGTCCTCACAAGACCCCCAAAACTCAAGTTTTCCCAAGGAAGTTCCCCCCTACAAAAGAACCCCTAAAAAGGAAATAAAACTTACCCAACCTTCATTATGGTCCTCCTTGCACCTTCCTTGCAAGAGGAAATAATGAGGCAGGAGACTGGGGAGGAGGAGAGGCTCCTCCGCTGTGGTCTCCTGGCACATTATTTCCTCACGCCAGGAGGACTATAATGGTGCCTGAGTAAGTTACTTTTTAGAGGGAAATGGGAGGTTGGGGAGAGGGAGCGGGCACCATCCTGGACCTTTGGGCTCAGGTTCAGAATGGCAAAAGGGGACTCGCCCCCAAGTAGTCCTGGGACTCCCGGAAGAGAGCCTCCATGGGCCCAATACCCCATTAGACCAGGGTCTTTCAGAAAAAATCCAGATCTAATGGGGTATTTAAGTAAATTGGAATAACTGTTATGCTGAATTCGTTTTTACCAGGGGCATCATTTGGATGCTCCCAGTAAAAATCCAGACTGGTCCCACATTTTGGACCCTTCTGGATGGGTCCATGAGTGAAAATGTATCAGCTCATCATGCTGTGGTCATAAAAGGTGGTGAAATTATAAGAGGATTGCAAGAGCAGGAGAAGCATGATCCATTAGGCCAGTCCTGCCACTTCTCTTTTATTTGTGTATTATATGTGAGTAATTCCCATGAGGTGTCCAAATGATGCTTTAGGAGAAAAGGAAATCCTTTGGGACAAAAGCAGGAATTAATTGGACACAGGCTTGTAGCGAGGGGGGGGGGGTTAGGGGTTCAACCCCCCCCCCCGAAATGTTTCAGAATTTTTTTAAAAACCTGGTTTACTCATGAATTAAGAGTCCCTCCAGAACTGCAAGCACTATCTCAAGCAAATATTGACAATTTATTCCCGCTGTCATTACTGGCAGCAATAGCTGATGTAGTGAAGCAACCAAGTTTGGGGGGGGGGGGGGTGAATGTTTTCATTTTTTTTGTCATGTCAGGAGAATCCTGTTGTGAGAGAATTGGCCGTCTGCAAGGACGTTGCCCAGGGGATGCCCGGATAATTTTTTTTTGATGTTTTATCATCCTTGTGGGAGGCTTCTCTCATGTCCCCGCATGAGGAGCTGGAGCTGATAGAGGGAGCTCATCCGCCTCTCCCCGGATTCGGACCTGTTGGTCTTCAGTCCTGCTGGCACAGGGCTTTAACCCACTGTGCCACCGGGGGCTCCAATGTTCTCATTATGGAGGGCATGGGAAGCTGCCTTATGCTACATTGGTTAGGCCTGACAGAACTGTCTGTAGCTCTCTGGAGTTTCAGACAGAGATGTTACCCAGTTCTACTTAGAGATGCCGGGGACCTTTAACTGACAAAAAATGCACTGTACTATCTGTACATATATACTACATTGAAGCTGTGTCATTTTGATGCTTAATTAATCATGTGCATTGCAAAAGGATCCATTCAAGATAATCGAATGAGACATCCAAGTGATGAATGTCATACTTTTCAGATTTCACAGTTACCTGAACCAATTGTTGAGAAATCGCTCTTTGATGACAAAAAGGAATCAATCAGGGATAATGTCGTCCATCTGAATTCATTGATTACTAAAGGAGCTACAAGGAAGGTCAACATAACTTTCACACCACAGAGAGTAAGTGCGGCTGTGAAATAAGCCAAACAATTAATTTCAGGTGTTGTTTTAGGAGTTCACTATAATCACAAAAATGCCAACCTTCTCTTGAAATGAACGCCATGAGAATTCCCATTGTCCAAAATGCTGCCATTTTGAACATATAGTCCTGAGAATTCCCTGTAGCCGTTTGCAGTCTTATGTTAGCATTCCTCCTTGCATGCAGGCCATTTTCTATTTATTCCATCTTGCGATGTTCAGAACTTTCTGAGAAATAGTCAGCTGTCAATATGGAGAAGAATACTTTTCTATTCATTTTTACAAATATAAGGAAAATACTCATTGAATTACAGATTTGGGAGAGACCACAAAGGCCAACCAGTCCTGTCCCATTCTGCTATTCAATAATATACAGTCAATGCATTCTTGGTAGATGTCAATTCAGCATCTATTTAAAAACCTCCAGAGAAGGAGATTCCATCATATTCCAAAAAAAGAGAGGAATTAATACACTATCTGTTACAATCTTCCGGGAACCCTTTTGGTAGAAAGGGCAGCATGGCAATGGTCAGCAGTTATTTTTAACTTCTTAATGGATTATTCCAAAAATATAATATTAAAGGTTGCTACATTTGTAGTCGCAGCCCAAAAGTTCCAAGCTAAATTAGTTAAATCCACAGCAGAAGTTAGAAATGGAAATGGAGATAGTTTGGGATGATACAAATCAGACGTGTTATTGTTATCATGTTACTTCTACTATAATTTTAAAGAGCCAGTATATGGAATAGATTTTAATGTTTATATTGGAAAGTGCTTATTATACTTTTAAAGGTTGTATATTATTTGATGCCATGACCTATGGCTGGCACAATAAACAATTCATTCATATTCCAAGATAGCTGTTGAACAGCTGTTATCACAAATATTCTTAATATTCAGGTAGTATCTCTTTTCCTGTACTTTGAATGCATTTCTCCATGTCCTAGTTTCTGGAACAGCAGAAAACAAGCTTAACTTGCTTCTAAAATATTTACAATAAATTTTGCATATGGCTCTCTTTGACGGACCTCAGGAATTTGGGAACAAACCAAAGTAGATCCTTCAGAAACCTGACATCTATTCATCCTTGCTCTAAAGGAATTACAGTTCCAATATATTGTTTGTCACCTTTTCTTCTGTAAGAAATGTAACTGTATCTAACCCTTCACATTTCTGGGTTTAACTTTTTTTGGATTTGCTTATTTGAAGATTTGATGAATGAGATCTCTTCAGGAATTGCTAGGTGCTCCGGCATGACTCTGGTCAACTTCTACCAAGGACTGACTATGATCCCTTCCACACAACCCTATATACCAGAATATCAAAGCAGAAAATCCCACATTATCAGAGGGCTCTTCCACACAGCCCTATATCCTAGAATATCAAGGCAGAAAATCCCACATTATCTGAGTGTGGACTCAGATAATCCAGTTCAAAGCAGATATGGTGGGATTTTCTGCCTTGATATTCTGGGATATAGGGTTGTGTGGAAGGGCCCTGCATAACTTCTCTAAAGGACCCAGAGATTTCTGGAAAGGTGTTCTGTGGTGTAAAAACAAGAATAGTTGTTTTTGTTTTTACACCACAGAACACCTTTCCAGAAATCTCTGCCCCCCCCCCCGCCCCAACTTTCATAGAGAGTAAAGCAAGTGGTGTTTACTCTCTAGCCTATTCAACAAAGCCTCTTTTTTTCTTCTAGATTTGGAGTCCAGAGGCAACCACTCAAGATCTTCTCCGAAAGAGAGAGTTACGTCGACAACGTTTTACCTATGAGGTGGATTTTGAGGACTTCATGATGCCGTTTAAGAGGAATTTTATGGAGAAAGTCCGAGCACTGGACCAATTAGCTGCCTTGCATTAATCACTGTGCAATTTCGGCATGGACTTTCAGGAAGGAAAAGAACCCAAGTTTCAGAAGAAATGTCTTTGAGAGGCCATAATCATGTTCCCCTTAATGATGATAAAAGTTTTCCTTCATTCTTCAGTTGCATTACTTCAGCATAGGTACCTTTGATCATGGGAGCATGTTCTTTTATGTTTGGCATCAGATCTATATAGCTTCCTTTCAGCAGCAAAGTTAACTTATGTTGCACGATATTTGCAAAGTAGGTGCCCTACTATGTGGCAGTTGACATATTGTAACCCTTTCCAATTCTAATAGATCTTTTACTCCATAATCGTTGCTTAGGAAACAAAACTCTATCACATTACAGAAACTTGAAGCCAATTATTTCCAGGTGCTATAAATGTCCATTGCACTCAGTAATGTGACTGATTCCGAAATCTAGAGATCTGTCAAAGTGCATAAAAATTTCCCTTAAGAAAATTGTCCTGGTGCTCATGATGACACAGAGGTATTTTGTTATGCGTGTATAGTGTAAAAAAAAAAAAAAGCTTGGCTTAAACGTAATTGCAAATGTAATGAAGAGAAGTGTGGGCTTCTAAGGCCTCTACCACAAATCCCATATTATCTGGTTTGAATTGGAATATATGGCAGTGTGGACTCAGCCTAGTTCAAAGCAGATATTGTGGGATTTTCTGCCTTGATATTTTAGGTTATATGACTATGTGGAAGGGCTCTTACTTTGAGCGCTGATTCTATTCCTCCATCCAGATATTTCTTTAATAGGGATACAGCAGAGAACCTTGATTAATACAAGGATATAATATCTGATTCTGAAATGTTCTTATTTAATGTCTTTACAAATCTCAAGCTATTAGGAGAGTATCAGAACTCAGAAATATTTGGATCTACAAATACTGGGATTCCTTAGTGAAAGTGGCTATGCAGAGTGGAAATTCTTGGTACTGTGGCCACCAAAAGTAACATCCCAACTCTAGCTAATGCTACGTTTTCTATATAAATAAATACTCATCATATTGGCCTTTACTTATTCCAGCCTTTATTCACCTAGGTGAAAACTGAGTTTGTTTCACCCATGTTCCACTACTTTCTGCTTTAATTTTTCATTGTTTTATTGTGTATATAAGAAATATACACAATAAAACTGCTTCTTTTGACTTTTGAGATTGTTGCTACTCAGGGCATGTCCAGACAGTACCTTTATCCCAAGAGCTTCTGCAGCAAACAGGAGGGTGGCCAGATGCCGTTCCCTATAAACGTGGAAGCAATTGCTACAAAAGGCAAAAACTGTGAGATTTCCAGGTTCGGGAATATCACAGTTTTGAGCCAAATATGTAGATCTTCACATGTTTGTATGTCCTTGCATTCAGAAATCATGTGATTTTTATCTGAGTTTGTTCCCAGGTTTTAGATGTTTCTTCCTGACTGATTGGTTCCTAAAAAGAAGGTGACACTTGTGCAGAAGGCAAAAACTTTATGAAACACGTGGAAGGCACATTTTCTCTGGCCAGGACAAAGAACTGAACTTTTGCAGTGATTTGCTGCAGTGATTCTCCACATATCTACCTATCCTCATCTTGAGGTTTTGAAGTCCTATGGTGGCCATCTTGGGAGGCTCTAAATCTCACAATAAAGCATAAAGTGTGGACAATGGAGGCAGAAATCCCAGGGCCAACAGATCTGTATGTGGACCTCTTCTGAAGTCCCAGGATTTTTTTTGCCTCTGTTTAAAACCCGTGATTTAGTGCTATCTGGTAGCGCCCACAGAAGAAAATAGTTTATCAATCTACCTATTTCTCACATTGATCCCAGAGAACAGATTATGTAGACTGAAATGAAGTTGAAGAGCTGGATTACCACGACTTTCACATGTTTTCCTTTGCTATAGGTCAGGGGGTTGCCAAGTTCTGGCATCGAATTGTTGCCTATTATTAACCGCTCCGAGTCGCCCCTGGGCTGAGAGGGGTAGTATACAAATGTAGTAAATAAATAAATAAATAAATAAATAATGTCCCACAGCCAAATGCCAAGGTCATTTACTAGACCCCCTAACTTTTCACTTAGGGTTGCCCCAAGTCTGAAACAACTTGAAGGAACACAACAAAAAACAATCCTTATTAACTTGACTATTTCATCAGCCAAAAACAGGCCCACACTTCCCACTGAAATACGGCAAAGTTTATGTTGGTTGAAACTGTTCTTCTTTTGTATATTGTATTGTTTTTCCATGGTTTTTTTTACACTACAAATAAGATATGTGCACTGTGCATACGAATTTGTTCATGTTTTTTTTCCAAAGTTTAATCTGCCCCCCCCCCCCCCAAACAGTCTGAGGGACCATGAATCCATCCTCTGCTTGAAAAGTTTGGGAACCCCTGCTGTAATACCATGTGATGTGAAAGCTGTTTTTGTTGATATGCACACATGCTAGCATACTTTCTCTTGCCTAGAGGAAAACTCTGATCTGGCTGTTCTGTCACTTTATGAATGTAAGGGGGAGGGGGAGGGAGAAAATACTTGGGAGTAACCATTTGAGGGAAACAATTCTGCAGAGAATTATGGGAGGAAAGATGAATACACATAAGCTAGTAAATATTAGCTGAATTTAATATTTTTAGTATTACGTCTCTTGTACTCTGTCTTCATCCTATTTAGTCTTGTCTTTGCATTGTCCATATCCTGGAATTTGCAGTCCAGCTACACTGTAATATAATCCAGTTTCCGAATCCAGATTATCGGCTTTGAAATGGATTATATGGTGGTATAGACTTATAAAATCTAGTTCAAAGCAGATGATCTGGATTCAGAAACTGGATTATATGTCAGTGTAGATTCACCTTGAGGAACCAGAACACTTTGGTAGACAAGGCTAATGATCTTGTAATGCTACAATTCCCAGGATTCCATAGCATTGAGTCATGGCAGTTAAAGTGGTGTCAAACTGCATTAATTCAACAGATGTCCAGAAATCTCGTTTGTGTATGTATGTGTGTATAGATATAGATATATAACTGAGTTGTTTAGATCGTTTCTTCTTTCCTGTTAAGTGCTTTGAATACCAGTGAGTATTTTCACCTTCTAAATCTAATTTAAACTCAAGGGTTCCTGTTGAGCTCTTTTCACATGTTACATGAATCTTTATTATTGAACCTAAGCCTTTTGTTTGTTCTTCACCAGCTAATTTTCTCTGGTGGTTATGTATTTTCGATTGAGATGGAAATTCTGTCCTTGACTTTACTGAGATTATTCCTGGCTGTGAGTTTGAAGATGTCACTCACGATTTGTATAGGAGCAGGACAACTTCATACTTATTTTAAAGAAGTACTGTATTACATAAAGCCTCAGGGATCAAGAACATTGAATAGTCAATGCTTTCTGTGAAATTCATATCCTGAAATAATGCAGCTCAGTTCAAAAGAGTACATCAAAATATTGCAATAAAGAAATGAGAGGTAAAATAACTCTTTGTTCAATGGAGAGTTCATCTTCATAAATGCTGCGGGGTTTGTGTGTTGTCGAAGGCTTTCATGGCCAGAATCACTGGGTTGCTGTGAGTTTTCCGGGCTATATGGCCATGTTCCAGAAACATTCTCTCTACTGACGTTTCGCCCACATCTATGGCAGGCAGCCTCAGAGGTTGTGAGGCCTGTTAGAAAGTGGGGTTTATATATCTGTGGAATGTCCACGGTGGGAAAAAGAACTCTTGTCTGCTTGAGGCAAGTGTGAATGTTGCAATTGGCCACTTTGATTAGCATTGAATGGCCTTGCAGCTTCAAAGCCTGGCTGCTTCCTGCCTAGGGGAATCCTTTGTTGAGAGGTGTTAGTTGGCCATGTATGCCTTGCCCTCCAGTTCAGATTGTGATGCAAGAAGTGTGGGAAGAAAAATACAGATGCACATGGGTTATCTTTCTATCCTTTGTTCATCATTGTAAAACCAGTGATTTGGGTCTAGCAAAAATATGTGTTATAAATTGCTAATGCAATATGTGTACATGTTCCCTGGAACAGCCACTGAAAACACAACACTTCAAAATGTTTGGTCTTTGAAGGAACTGATGAAATGATATAGACACTAGCCATGACCACAAGTAGATCATTCCCTTGCCCATTTAATGTCCCATACTACCTTTGATTGGAGCAAATTTCATTGAGCCCTTCCCTTTATCAGGATCATAAGATGCATTACTTTGTATCTCCATGGAAATAAATTATGTTTAAAGAGCTCATTTCACATCAGTTTTTTGTTGTTCTTGTTCTTGTGTGCATTCAAGTCATTTCCAATTTACCTAAAGCAGACCTATCATGGGGTTTTCTAGAGCTGAGAGAGCATTGACCAGGGCCACCCAGGGCACACCCCCACTGACCACTTGGGTTACTTTGAAATTAGTTTGGAACGAATGAGTATCACTGTGTGGATTGTTTGATTGGCATTACAGGAACAGGTTTGAGACTAGGTGAGTGATTACTTGAATAATGGAAAGTAGACGCAGTAATTTTTTCTCCCACTTTCTGGCGAGATGCATGCCAGTAGGGAAGGAAATACCAATGAAGGGAATCTATCTCCTGTCCCAGGGGATCACTTAGTACTCTGCTCCCCAGTTATGCTCTTGGGGCATTTTTTGGTAACTGCCTGGCTTCTAAATTGTATATGCGTTCCAGCGCGGGCAGGGATCTACAGTGCATGTTGCATTCTGTGGAACCGATTTCTCTGTGTGCTGTGTTTGACATTTTGCGTTCACTGATATAGATCAAGTGCTTTAAAACAGGCTTTCCCTCAAATTGGCTTAATGCACGTTAAGGCCCCATAGGCCGGATCCAGACATGCCCTTGACTCTGAAGCACCCGCGTTAAAACAACGCAGATGTTTTTAGGGGTCTGTCCATACCTACTGCAGAAAGTGTGCACTTTCTGGTGGGTTGTCCACATGATGTCTCGGGACTAGCTCTACCCCCAAGCCCCCAGACCCCTTAGAAAACCAAGGAAAACGTATGTGGTCTCCATTAGAAGCCCGGAGAGCTCTCCCGGTGCATAGAAATGACATACCAGGAAAGTGGGGGGAAGCTATTCCCCCCCCCCCTCTCCTGGCACATCATTTCTACATGCCAGGAAAGCTCACCGGGGCTTCTAATGGAGACGACATAAGTTTTTCTTAGTTTTCTAAGGGATCTAGGGACTTTGGTGGTGGTGGCGGTGGTGGGGGTGTTGCCACAGTTTACTGGGCTATTTATTTATTTATTTATTTATTTATTTATTTATTTATTTATTTATTTGCAGTATTTATATTTCGCCCTTCTCACCCCACCGGGGAATCAGGGCGGATTACAGTGTACACATATATGGCAAACATTCAATGCCAATTTTAACATACAACATATGCAGACATACACAGAGGCTATTTAACTTTTTCTGGCCGCAAGGGGAGCTGTCGCTTTCATCGACCATCTGCAACACTGATGAAGTACTTCCACATTCCCCATATGCTTTTTTGCTGGAGTGCTTTGCTGGAGTCTTTTTTATGGCCTCATAAATTAGTTAATTTAGCCTCCCCACACTTTAAGGTGGTACCTAATTTTCCTACTTGACAGATGCAACTGTCTTTTGGGTTGCAAAGGTCGACAACAGGCTACACAATTGGTTGGAAACCCACTCCAACCCGGGCTGGCTTCGAACTCATGATCTTTTGGTCAAAGTGATCTTAATGGAGCTGACACTCAGCCAGCTGCGCCACAATCCCGGTAAACTGTGGGAATACTGTCTGGACTGCAGTATTCTGCAGTCCAGACCCAGAAATAGTGCATTTATCCCACACCTTCCAAGAAGGCTCGGAATAAAAGCACTATCAAACAGATTTTCCTGGTTTGTAGGAAATTAATGCGGGACTGTCCAAAACGTTGTCTGGACAGCTCCTCCTTTATTGCAGGAGTTCCCGCAATAAAGGTCCTGTATGGACGGGCCCGAAGTCACACTGTTGCACACTTTAGCAGTTTGCATTTTCTACCTGCCACAGCTTGGATTCATCTTGAAGTTGCATTCAATGGTCAGTGCAGATGTTCCTCTGGTGATTTTTCATAGCAGAATGGGGATTTGAACCCCAGGTCTCCAGACTCAAAGTACCACACTTATTGATTAGTTACATTTTCCAGCCCCTCTCAGATTTTGATACTGTTTTGAAATATCGATTTCATGTTTTGTTCTTTGAGGGGTGGGCTCTCCTGCTCTTTACACATTGTTTCTTTACACAATGTTTTCAGTTTTTTGATTGACCCAATAAATGTCTTTTTATTTGTCCAAACAGAAGTAGTTATACAACACAAAAATTCTTGAATTTG